GTAAGATTTTTTGTTCTGATGATGCCTTATACCTGATCCCTTCGACACCTCGTGGTTGCATAGGCTGGTGTGCTTCTTCCAAATGGTTATCCTTATAGGACAGAATAGAACTACCCTATGGGTTCCCTAGACTGTAGAAAGACTCATTGTTCTTACGTGGAGCAGCTGGTGGTTTTGAACTGTTGACCTTGTGGTTGGTAGCCCCATGGTATAACCCACTATGCCATCAGGGCTCCTGTCTCTAGCCACTCATGTAGGTTTTCTAGATTCTCTACGAGAAGCTCAACTTGAAAGAGATACTATTTTCCTGTCTTTTTCTTTCCCATCCAAATTCCCACAGAGTAGGAAGCCTGATTGGCCCCACTGGGGTCACAGTACCCAAACCAGGTGCCACAGATTTAGTGTCCACGCAGTTATAATGTGGGCAGAGGACAGGGAGGCTGCCAGAGGCCATCACCAGGGTGGGAGGTCCCACGGAAAAGGTCACCCTGAGCTGGGTAGACACTCCAACAGGGGTCTATTGAAGCTAGTATTTGTAACAATTCAATGGACATTCTGGTCCTCCGTACTAAGAACCATTATCTGGTTACTTTCTTACAATAAATCCTTAAATGGTAATTACTGGGTCGAAGTGTATTAATATGCTTAATATTTAAAACTCATGTTATCAAATCGCTCTCAAAAAAGTTGGATTAATTCATATTCCTAACACCAGTATACGGTATTACCACTAGACAAAATTCAATACTTTTATTGATATTGGGTCTCGCTTCTTAAGCCTATTTGATAACTTAAAGTTTTGTCTCTTTTATTTATTTTTTTATAGTTAGTAAGGCTCTTTTATTTATTTCTTCTACAGTTAGTAAAGCTAAACCTTTTTAATTTTCCATTTTGAAAAGTCTACCCATATGAATTTTCTATGAATGGACTATTTAAAATTTTCTATATTAAAGAGATGTACCTTTTAATGTCTGGCAGAAAAATATTCCTAGTTTCTATTATTCACTTTTGTTTGTAGAGTTTTTTTCTGGTTAAACTTGAAAAATGCTTTGATCTAAATATTAATGGTCCTCAGATCAACTTTGGTAAAAATAATTTGAAAACACCCTGGAGAACCATGGATCGACTATTAACAAATGGATCACGAATACTTCGGTGAGTACAAAGTGCCAAGCTCATATCCAAGCCACCTTAGCGCAGGCCTTCACTTAGCACAGCACAGGTGGGCCGCCTGCATCCGTCCTCATTTTGCTGGGGATCCTCCTGTGTACCTGCCACCCACCCCCGGCCACCATGCATTCCTCATTCTCCACGCGTCCCCTGTCGCTTTGTCCCCGTCACTGGTTTGTAAGGCCTTTAGCTATTCCCTCTGCAGAGTCCCTGGCTGGTGCTCAGCTGCTTAACCAACCTTGAGCTCTGTCCAGAGGTGCCTCGGAAGAAAGATCTGGCCATCTGCTTTTGAAAAGTCAGCCCTGGAAAACCTGATGGGTCATAAGTCTACTCTGACACACAGGGTTGCCAGGAGTCAGAATCCGATGGCTAGCCCCCCACGGCGGTAGTGGGGGTGATGGCCCTGGACCAGACTTTTGAGGAGCACCTGTGCTGTGACGGTGACCCTTCCGGCCAGAAGAGACAGCAGTCAGAGAAGTGTGAGGCAGAGACCCAGTTGCCTATTGACACTCCCGTTTCTTTACTCAAATGTAAGTGTGGAGACCTAGAGGTCTCTCTCGTGTGACTATGGAAATCTTACCTATTCCCTGAAGGCCAGATTTTACCTTCTTCAGAAACTCCTCTCAAAAGAAGCCTGACTCACAGTTAGTTTGTAGCAATGTAATATTTATTAAATTGTATTCTTACATCATCCTCTGTGCTTGTCGGTTGCATTGAGAGTCAGGTCCAACTCATGGTCCCCCCATTTTGTGCAGAGTGGAACTGTGAAGTAGAGTGCTGGGTGGTGTTTCTGGGTGGGTTTTACCTGCCAATATGTGGACCCATAGCTGAGTGCGTACTAAGGGGCAAAAAACATCTTAAGGGAAGAAATCCTGTTTCACTTTTTAAATTTTTCTGCCATGCCTAGTTGAAAATGTTGTCGGTGGTTAACACAGAATTGTATGATAGGAAAATTTGGGCTTCTGGAAGTTTCCTAACTGAGACTACAGGAGAGGGTTGGGTTGTATCGCCTTAGTCTCAAATCAGAGGACAAAGGTTTCCCCAGTAAGTGGTATACTGTATTTTTTTCCTGAGGAGAGCTATCCTGAATGCACATTCACTCTCCCAATACTACAAAGGGCAACCAGGAAAGCACAGTCCCTTCTAAATCCTTCTTGGGGACCAGGCTGTGTGTGTGTGTGTGTGTGTGTGTGTGTGTGTGTGTGTGTGTGTGTGTGTGTGTGTGTGTGTGTGTGTAAGTGGGGTGGGGGGACGCTGGTGGTGGCAGGAGGGCAACGTCAAGAGGGCGGAAAGAGAGACTCCATGCAGTGAGTAGGTGGAGGGATTTGCTATCTCTTTTCCTCCCCTCCCCTTGCCTTCTTTGTCCTCTTTCTCCACGTTCCCCTCTTTGTCCCCTTGTTCCTCTTCCCCTTCTGCATTTGTCTGGGAGGATCCTGGAGTGTTCTTTTGATCGGCTCAAACTTTCTCTGGCACTTGAGTTCTGATTGGCTGAAGGGCTTAGAGGGGGGAAAACTTTAATTAAGTAGATAATCTCTTCTTTGGAAGTTGGCAGCTCCATTTCACCTCCCCTTAACTCTGTTTGGGATCGCTTACCCACCAAGGAAGTTGGGGCTTGAGGAGAATTCCATCCCACTATCCCTGAGGAGAATACTTCCCCATCTGACTTGCCTGCCTCCTACAGTGTTCGGATTGTCTCTCTCTGTTCCTCCCAAGGATTGTTTCTTATGGAGTCTTCTGTGTGCATCTTTCTTCTCACCTGTCTCTTCCAACTCAGCCACACCTGGTAAGTAACCTGAAGCCCTATGTGCCGCTGGAAGGAGGAGAAATGTATGTACTGTGCTGGAGTTCTCACCTTCTTTCCTGGAAATATCAGAGCTTTGGGATAACCTCTGTCCAGTCAGGCTCTTCCTAATTCGTATGTCTGGCTGCCGTACATTTTAAGAGCCCTACCAGTAAGAGAAGAGATTCAAAGGTTTTCTGGGTTTAGAAATTGGGATCCCAACAAGTAATCCAAAAGGTTTGGGGGGATATGGAAAGTAGCTCTTTTGACCACGTCTTGGTGTCAGCGTTTGTGGAAGAAGAGGATGGGTTTGAAGCAAGTTCTCCTGGGGGTTGAATCTAATCATTAAGGTGAACGCTGGAAGCAGATTGTTACCAAGATTTGATTGTGTACCCCGTGTCTGAACTTTTATCTGAATATCCTGTCACTGCTGGATCAGCATCACTCGGTCAATGACCTTGTATTTGCTAGGTTACATTTTGAGTTGAGCTACAGATTTGATACGGGGTTATCAAGCATGTTCAAAACCAAATATTTTAGAAATCAAGACCTCCCTGCAAACTTATTTGATTATTTCATTTACAAATAGCTCTAGACAGCTCAGAAAAATCATACCCAGGGAAGTGCTTTGTAAATGACCACTAAGGCCCACACGAGGGACAATCTTCTCCTCGTTCACCTTTAGCTCTTGGGAAACACTTGCCTAGCTCCATACGTAAAAGAGCATGCAAGTGTTTACAAGGAAGGACACCCCAATAGTCTGACAGACCTGGGAGATGCATGCCGTCTGCAGCTTTGCGCTCAACTCACACAGAAGCTCAATCTCGCTCTTTTCACTAGTTCTCCCGTTGACCATGCATTTAAACCAGATCAGAATCGATTCCTACATAAACTCTCAAGACAGGAGAATTTCCTTGTTGCCATCAATCTCCTGTGCTAGTCGCGAGTATATTCTTATCAGAAGTGAGTACAGCCATGTTTTTGTTTTTTAGAGAGAGTTGATAAGATGCGTGTCAAGTTATAGCAACAATCTGCAATGGGTGCAACCATTTATAAAGACTTTGGGAGATCCCCTTGCAGAGGGGTCTCGGGGAGGAGATGAGCCAGTCAGGGTGCGATGTAACAATGATGAGAAATACAATCTTCCTCTAGTTCCTAAAGGTTTCCTCCCCGCTCCCACTACCATGACTCGAATTCTATCTTGCAAGACTGGCT